AGCAGCTGGGTGCTACATGATCGCCCGGGTACAAACCCGTGTTGGGCATCTGTTAATAAGCCCAGCGTCACCATGTGGTTTACCATTGCGTCTCTAATTATAGATTCCATGGTCTTACACAGGATACAAGTTAGCGATATTGGACGGTAGTTGCTGGGTGCTGTTCTTTTACCCTTTTTGTGGATGGGCGTTATCTCGCCATCTTTCCAGATTGGTGGTAATGTTCCTGAATCAAGGGATTTGGTAAAAAGCAAACTGAGAGGGAGGGCTAATTCTTGTGAACATTCCAGTAGAAATCTTGCAGGGATATTATCGGGGCCGGGGGATTTGCAGGCTTTGAGCTTTTTGAGTTTATGTAGGACTAGTTCCTCTGTAAATTCTATAGTTTCCAGGGTTTGGGTTGTTCTGGGAGTTATTCTGGGGATGTTTGTGTAGATGGTTGTGACAGAACTTTTTTTAGCTGGTATTCATGATGCATTAATTAATTAAGCTTCGCTTAGTTGATGGACAAGTCAATGCACGGCAACTCAACCCAAGATGTCAACTTGGCAAACGCAATTAATTGATTGTAGCCAATGTAATAGCCATTACGCAATAGGTTCTCTCTATAGTTGAGTCATTAGCTTGGAGCAGCAGAAATGAGCAATAATAAGTTACCACATGAACTTTGGGACATGAACTTAAATTAGCATTTGCTTAATATGATACGCATATCCAGGACATTAATATTGTGGTTCCACTTCTTTATACCATGGGCTTTCAATTAAGAGTTGAAAGCCCATGTTTATACCAAGGATGTCCTTGTTTATATTGAATTACATGTGATTGAACTAGTTCCAACATTCGTTACTTGTACATTGTAGATATTGATACAAGTAATTGTTATGGTTGTGACAATTGTGGTGACAAAATACAATGAAATTATTGTGCTGAATGAGACATTGTATTGTATAGATAAACAAGCATTGTGTCGATTGTGATTCTAGTTGTATCAAATGTCACGTAAGAACAAACATTTTCTACTATTGTCCATGGATAATGATAAAGGAGCTAGGGAGGTTCGACCCCCCCTTGGCCAAAATATCTTTCAAAATCATGCAGTTTTCACCATTCTGAGCACTTTTTAATATAAGTGATTTTGGCCATTTTTGGACCAAAATTGTCACAAGTGAACCCCGCTGGAATTTTTCAAAAAGTGATCAGATTGTTGTCGCTGAAATAATGTATAAACACCATTTAAAAATTAAGCACTTGCTATTGTGGATCATTTATAAGGTGGTCTTCAATATATTTATACCAATAACGTATCACAGTACGCTGGAGACTTTCACTGCCTTGTGAGTATGAACATATTCACTTTATTTTAATTAACAGGGCATACACAGTGAACAATATTTATACATTTAGTTTCATTTAGTTTCAGAATACTAAGAATTAATAACACAGGTTTCAATATATATGTATATTAATAATAGTTTATTTGTATATATTAAATCATAACAAAATTTACAGCAATAAACACCAGATACCCTGATTAGTGGCATATCAGTGCAAAATATAAAAAAAATATATCTTTTGAATCTTTGCAATTGTATAAGGGAGCACTTCAAACCATTGATGTTGGACAATTAACTATAACAGAGATTCTCAATAACGGTCCATGAGGGGTGTGTAAAAAAGAAATTCCCCTCTTTTAAAGCCCACAAACACAAAGGCCAATTGCTAACTTTTCCTCAGTTGAAAAGAATATAATATTTTTTCATTGGAAGTACCCACTGATAGTCAATAAAAATATATGTGACAGTGCCTAGGGTTAACATGAAATAAGTAGCAAGTTTGGAAATGCAACTTAATATCCAGATTGAAAAGAGCACATAACGGTCATGTCCACGATATCATGGCACTGAAGTCCAGGTGTCAACTTCACAACAGATACTTTCCCTCAAATTGAAAACCAACTCATTTGGAAAATCAATTTTTCAAATAAACGCCCATACAAATTAAATGCCCAGTGGGCCCATGGACGAGAAAATCCAGTTTAATTCCATTTACATTTTCCAAATTGTTAAAACGCTCTGTCACATCATTAGATACACTGTACACTACTACAAGTACACATTCCCAGGGGCTTTTAAGTTCCCATTTTCATCTAGTGCATTTGATGTTAGGGGATATTTTGGTTAAGGTTACCAAAGATCATGGCTAAATCATTAAGTCAGAGAAAATGTTATTAACAATTAAAATACATGTACACTTTATTGTTATTTATCACACATAAATAATTGGAAATGCCCCTGTAAGTTGTATTAGTATCATTATACTTTCAGATCACAATGCATTCCTGAAAGAGTCTTTTTACATCTCTTCGGTCTTATTGGCAAATTCTTCCACAAAATAGCACCCAAGTAGAGAACTGAATTTTTGTGTTGGTATTTTGTAATGTGTTTGTTTTATAACTTTCCTGATGTACAAGTACAGTGTTTGATACAATATCTATAATAAAAAAAGATTAGATTGAAAAATTGATGCGATATACATGTAGATGAATTTAGATTTTGTTTAGTTTATAAATGTCAAAAACTTCATAAATGTGTATAAATATACAGTTAGTAAACAGTTATTTATGGAGTTTATTTTGTATCAAAATTGGACAATACACAATCCATGTGAAAAGTCTAACCATATGATGCGACTCTCAAACATCTCTAGAAAGCAATTTATAATACATCAAGGTGTGTGATCTTCACATCATGGTTTGTGAATGGGAAAACGTTTGTCCAAGCCCTATTAGCATTTGTTAGACGTATGTACTCTGTTCAATGTCATTTTTAAACAATGGATTCACATATACAAATGTGATTTTACTAACATAGTGAGTTCAAACTCGAACAAGGCATTAATATGACAAAATGCCACCACCTAGTTGCTCACAATATTCTTAGTTCAAACTTAGGTCAGATTTCTGAGAACTCTGTAGTTGATTTTGAAAAAATGGTCAATTTGAAACAAGTTTTTTGAGAGAAGGTCATAGAAGGTGAAATCTCAAATCTAAAGTCAGATTTGAACTTCTGAGAACTTGAGGATGATTTTGAAAAAAATTGGTCAATTTGAAGCAAGTTGAAAAAGACCGTTTTGACCTTGAGAAGGTCATAGATGGTCAAATCTTTTTTGACCTTGAAAATGTCACTGAAGGTCAAATCTATATTCAGATTTGAACTTTTGAGAACTTCTAGATGATTTTGAAGAAAAAAATTGGTCAATTTGAAGCAAGTTAAAAAAGACCTTTTCTTTAACCTTTTTTTACCTTAAAAGGTCATTGAAGGTCAATCTTAATTCTAGAGTCAGATTTGAACTTCTGGAAACTTGTAGATGATTTTGAAAAAATTGAAGTCAGTCTAGACAGTATTTGTCAAGTTCTTGGCAGTTGTAAGAAATTGTTACAGACGCCGATCGCCAACCACCAACTGCCATGTGCCATCACAAAAATAATATGTCACCACTTTTTGGTGGTGACATAACAAACCATGTATGAAATCATGTATGAAGTATGATTGTGTATGTACTCTGCTAAACGTTAGAGATATCACATTTATATAAGATATCCAATTTTGATACAGTTTTAACACCATAGTATTAGCAATATCACATATAATATAGTAATGATATACAAGTGTCAGTTTATGCTTATGTATACCAAATGTCCATATATGCTTCAATATACTATTTGTGTCAAGTTACAAAGTTAGCTTTAGTATGCCAAGTTTCAGTATTTGCTTCAATATGCCATTTGCATTCCTTTATGCTTCAATATGTCATTTGCATTCCTTTATACTTCAATATGCCATTTGCATTTCTATATGCTTCAATATGCCAATTGTCAAACTGTTAGCACAGGAGAAATGTAAGCATACATGAGTATAACCTCAATCTATATTTCCAAAACCTATTTCAAAGTCTAGCAATACCTCTCACAATTGTCAGCATATGCCAAGTGAAAATGTATGCCAAGAGGCAGCATATGCTTTAATAGACAAAGATAGAGACATCTAATATCCAGTTGTAATGTTATAATTCTGACAACCACTGTGAGTTTATAATATTTATATATCTATATTTTACAAAACAAAACAAAAAGATTATGACCACCTTTAAATAGAATATTCAAAAGGCTAGGGTGAATAAATAGTTTGTTTAGCATTTTCATCTCCAAATATTTGACAAGTGAAAACTGGTATGTAAAAAATGGTTCTAGTATATTCCATCTGTTTTAATAAAAAGCTAATTTGTTAAACATCATTATTTAACAAAATGAGGATGCAAAATATATAAAATGCCTTTTTCTATCCTACTTTTACAAAAAATGGAATAATGCTTAACATACTATTCAAATACCCTGGCCTTAACAATGTATAATGTATTGTACATTAGTTATTGCTCTATCATAGACATATGTGAAAACCTCTTGAATACTTACCAAACTTTTTCCACCAAAACAGCTCTAACTTTGACAATACATACTGTACTTTACTTAATTTGGTGCTGCTCATTTTGGTGGATTTGTTGTTTTGAATATTTGGCAGCTACTTAATTTGGCAGACTTGCAATATTACAATGCTTTAATGGTTCTGATTTACATGTTGTAAATGGAATTTGACATCTACTTAATTTGGCAGATTTTAACAATTTGGGGTTCCGCCAAATTAAAACAGCCGCTAAATTAAGTAGAAGTTCAGTACTCAGTTTTTACAAATTATGTTCTAAAATGTGTGAAGTGTCTATCATTATAGTATTTACCAAACTGAATATTACATACAAATGTATAGTAAACCTACGTTGTAAAATGGCAAAAAGGGGAAGTGCACTGTTATACAGTATACAGGAGGTCTACACGGTCTAGGAACCTAAGTGCAGTCCCTTTGCTTATGAAGCTTGACATAATGCCATGATAATGCAATAACCTCCTATTTAAAGTCCCCGTGTAATGTCTGAAATAATTGTTTTTCAAATATATTGCCCTTTAAATGATAGCATAAATTCTACACAAGGCTACATTACCAAAACATTCTTAACAACAAAATACATTGTTTAACAATGAAAAATAATATCATAGTAAATGGACAACAGACTTAAAATCTTCAACTTATGGAATCTTCTGGTAATGTGCCCTGTGTCTAAATGGATTTTCAACCAAGTGCAAGGTAATTCTTTAAGTGTTCTAAACTGGCTGCAGTAACTAGTTCCTCCTCCAATGCTACAGAGATTACATCTACCATGCTAGCCAAATACTTCAAATACTTTCAACAATACACAGGGCCTTTAAATACTAACAGGAACATTTAGATTTATTTTCCTCCTCCTCATATTGTGAAAGATTTGCACCATTTCTCATGCCAGGAAGAATTGACTTGTCAACAGATTTCTCCATCCGTAACATGACATTGTCCAATAATAGTTCCACAGATTTTGCCACATTTTGGCCAGTGGCGGCACTTGTCTCAAAGTATGGTAACCTGGAGAAGAAATACAGGGTGTTCATTCAGTCAAGAAGATACAGGGTGTTTACTCTGTAATAAAGGTACAGGGTGTACATGCATTCAGCAAGAAAACACAGCGTGATAAATCCATCAACTTTGAGTAGTATTTGACTATTTTTAAACAACAATGTGAGTATTAGCAGATAGCATTTCATAATAACTATGGAAACCTCTATGATAATTCAAATTCATATTCACAAGTACTTTTACCATATAGAGTTAAAATTTACCCATGTTTTTCGGCAAATTCTTTGGCAGCCTCTTCAGTGATTGCTCTCTGTGCCTCCAGGTCGACCTTGTTCCCACACAGTACAATATCGGGATTCTCGCAGTATGCATGCGTCTGCAGCTGTGCTATCCAGTTACGCAGGTTGAGAAATGACTGTTCGTTACTCAGATCAAATATCAATAGAAAGCCCATTGCATCTCGGAAGAATGCTGTTGTTAGACTACGAAACCTGGAATAGTAGAGTAAGCATCTTGTGCAAGGGGATAGTGATACTACAATATGTATTACTCATAACTGAATGATAGTGAAATCTAGCAACCTGATTAGACCGTGTGATGTCATCTGTATTTTTTCTGAGAAAAATGATTGAATAACTTAATACTATTGAATAGACCCTGAATAAATATTGCCTCCCTTGGCCAGCAATGTCCCATAGTTATATGTGTATTACTTACCTCTCTTGGCCAGCAGTGTCCCATAGCTGTATATGTATTACTTACCTCCCTTGGCCAGCAGTGTCCCATAGCTGCATGTGTATTACTTACCTCTCTTGGCCAGCAATGTCCCATAGTTGTATGTGTATTACTTACCTCTCTTGGCCAGCAGTGTCCCATAGCTGTATATGTATTACTTACCTCCCTTGGCCAGCAGTGTCCCATAGCTGCATGTGTATTACTTACCTCTCTTGGCCAGCAGTGTCCCATAGCTGCATGTGTATTACTTACCTCTCTTGGCCAGCAGTGTCCCATAGCTGTATATGTATTACTTACCTCTCTTGGCCAGCAGTGTCCCATAACTGTATATATACCAATTACAGTACCTCTCTTGGTCAGCCGTGTCCCATAGCTGTATGTGTATTACTTACCTCTCTTGGCCAGCAGTGTCCCATAGCTGTATATGTATTACTTACCTCTCTTGGCCAGCAGTGTCCCATAGCTGTATATGTATTACTTACCTCTCTTGGCCAGCAGTGTCCCATAGCTGTATATGTATTACTTACCTCTCTTGGCCAGCAGTGTCCCATAGCTGTATATGTATTACTTACCTCTCTTGGCCAGCAGTGTCCCATAGCTGTATATGTATTACTTACCGCCCTTGGCCAGCAGTGTCCCATAGCTGTATATGTATTACTTACCTTTCTTGGCCAGCAGTGTCCCATAGCTGTATATGTATTACTTACCTCTCTTGGCCAGCAGTGTCCCATAGCTGTATATGTATTACTTACCGCCCTTGGCCAGCAGTGTCCCATAGCTGTATATGTATTACTTACCTTTCTTGGCCAGCAGTGTCCCATAGCTGTATATGTATTACTTACCTCTCTTGGCCAGCAGTGTCCCATAGCTGTATGTGTATTACTTACCTCTCTTGGCCAACATTGTCCCATAGCTGTATGTGTATTACTTACCTCTCTTGGCCAGCAGTGTCCCATAACTGTATATATACCAACTACAGTACCTCTCTTGGCCAGCAGTGTCCCATAGCTGTATATGTATTACTTACCTCTCTTGGCCAACAATGTCCCATAGCTGTATGTGTATTACTTACGTCTCTTCGCCAGCAGTGTCCCATAGCTGTATATGTATTACTTACCTCTCTTGGCCAGCAGTGTCCCATAGCTGTATATGTATTACTTACCTTTCTTGGTCAGCAGTGTCCCACAGCTTATGTGTATTACTTACCTCTCTTGGCCAGCAGTGTCCCATAGCTGTATATGTATTACTTACCTCTCTTGGCCAGCAGTGTCCCATAGCTGTATATGTATTACTTACCTCTCTTGGCCAGCAGTGTCCCATAACTGTATATATACCAATTACAGTACCTCTCTTGGTCAGCCGTGTCCCATAGCTGTATGTGTATTACTTACCTCTCTTGGCCAGCAGTGTCCCATAGCTGTATATGTATTACTTACCTTTCTTGGCCAGCAGTGTCCCATAGCTGTATATGTATTACTTACCTCTCTTGGCCAGCAGTGTCCCATAGCTGTATATGTATTACTTACCGCCCTTGGCCAGCAGTGTCCCATAGCTGTATATGTATTACTTACCTTTCTTGGCCAGCAGTGTCCCATAGCTGTATATGTATTACTTACCTCTCTTGGCCAGCAGTGTCCCATAGCTGTATATGTATTACTTACCGCCCTTGGCCAGCAGTGTCCCATAGCTGTATATGTATTACTTACCTTTCTTGGCCAGCAGTGTCCCATAGCTGTATATGTATTACTTACCTCTCTTGGCCAGCAGTGTCCCATAGCTGTATGTGTATTACTTACCTCTCTTGGCCAGCAGTGTCCCATAGCTGTATGTGTATTCTCTGACTTCTACCTACACTTCCATCCTGTCCCGGCATCCTGTGCACCTGTAACAGGAATGTACCAAGGGCAACATTAGAACAAGATGTACATTGCTAAATAAAACACTTTTCAAGTGTGATAAATACAATCATAATTCATTCTCCCATAAAATATACACTTTATCAAAAGAAATAAAATACAAAAAGTTATACATAAAGTCAAATTGACATGGTACTAGAAAAAAACAATAATACATATTGTAGACTCACGAGATAACACAATTAAGTTATATTCTTTGAAGGTAAGGAAATGAAACAAGATTATATACAAATGTCATTTAGTTCAGTTAAGGTCATTAGTAGATAATGACAGAATAAGGTTTTAATTTACAACCTTAACTTGTACTGCTTCCTATTCAATTTCATCACAGGTTAATTCAACCTAAGACATTGTCAACTAGTGTCAATGCAACCAACATTATTTGAACCTGGGATTAGCTTCAACTTATTCAAATCAACTTTATGACCAATAAGGTAATCTGAACTAAGGTCAATGTAACCCAAGTTGTCTAGAAGTAGGACTGGGGTCTTGGAGTTTGGCAATATTAAAAGTTGTTGGATAGGATTGATGATTTGCAATCACCAGATGGATTCTGTCTTACAAGTAAAATGGGTCTTAGAAAAGGAAAATGTGTCTTAAAGTGGAAATGGGTATTATAAATGGAAAATGGGTCTTAAAGTAGAATATTGGTCTCAAATGTGAAATTGGGTCTTTAATTGGAATATGGGTCTCAAAAGTGAAAATAAGTCAAGTAGAAATGGCTTCATTTCACATTAATCTAACAGGCTCTTGTAAGTTGTTAATAATAGTTGACAGTTGTGGAAAGACATATTGGAAATGGTTACATGTTTTTCGCTTTCTCTCCTTGGGAGTCAGTGAAGCATCATCTTTTGTTCGATATACGGGTTTCAATTTGGCACTTACTTTATGATTAATATTCAATAATTATCTCACTAAAAGGCATCATAAAGATGAACAGCTTTAGGTAGTATAATGCCAAAAACACAGAAATCATCCACACAAAGAAATAATAAAGTCAAAATTCATTGAATTCAGTTTTAGATCTTATCCCTTACTTAGATCTTATTTTATCCCTTAGTACTTTGATTTTATTCTTTACTTAGAACTTAGATTGAACAGAGAACTTAGTAATAATCTTTTACTAACATATTGTGTCATAATAATATAATCCATACCATGTTTATTCAGTTTAATTGTAACTGTACTGATAAATAATAAAAAATATGTCAAGTTTCAGTTCAACTAAAGGCAAGCAAGACTTTCAGATTACCTATAAGACCATGGATAGTTGTACCCGATTGTATAGCCAAATATAAATTTGTTTAGCATGTTATCTAAAATTTATCAATTTATAATAGAAAAAGATTCAAAATGGCTGCATTTACAAACTTAAAACCCAGGGAGTGCCGATAAATTTGTAATATCTAGCTAGATCTTACATCAAGATACATCCCTGAAAGTTTAAAATCAATCAATCAAATGGTTTGCCTGAAATTCCACAGACAAGGGCTCGTATACCAGTATAACTGGTCACATTATATCACCCAAAGATGAGATAGAATAAAGCTTGTGTATTGATCCATGCAACGAGCTATTTCATATTAAATATCACAAACAATTTTCAGGTATAGCTAGAAACAAAATGATATAGAGCTGTTAACAAGTTTTTATATCTTTATTATTCCATCATGATATTTCTCTTGAGGATAGAATGTTTATTAATTTAGATATATACTATGTTGTATTCCATTGGTATATACAATTTATCTTCCCTTGGTCCCTATGGGCCCTCGGGAAGATATATTTTATATCCCTCGGGATATTCCCTACATCCAAAACCTCCCAGTGCATAACTCCTAAATACATACCACTCTCTTTTCCCTAAAGTCGATCCCTACTGTTGATATAAACTTTGAGTTGAATGCATTGTCTGTGTATTGGTACAAGAAGCTTGTTTTCCCAACTCCAGAGTCACCTGAAATAGTAGAATATGCATATGTACAGTTTTATGGTAAAACACTGTCGAGCGGAACACCTCTGAAAGTGGAACACCTCCCAAGTGGAACAATTTTAAAAATACCATATGAGCCACTGACTCATTTAAAATGGAACACATTTTTATGGTCCTACAGGCTCTTTATTGTATGATCACAAATTAATCGAATAACATATAGCAGAGGCAACAAGTTAACAGATTCAGGGCATAGTTGTCTAATTACAAACGGTAACCAAACTATGCTATTGATTTGTGTATGTCATTGTAACAGGGGGCTTGGGGTCAACCTATTCCCAAATGATTTAGACTTATTTTTGTGAAATTATGATAACATTTTTAAAAGGGTTCAAGTAGTTCAAAAACTATGCTTAAAGAAGACAAAAAGAACTCATACGTTTTAACAATACAAGGGATTTTTAAAAAATCACACTTTCAGCCCACATCATTTCAAATTTCAGGTCCATCTCAGCGCACACCATGTGATATAGTAGTAGAAGGCAGACATTTAAATATCCTCTCCACAGAATAATCAGCATAAATATTCAATCCATCAAAAAATAGGTTAAGTGCAGCTAAGCAATTGTCAGAAAGCAGTAGATCTACAGTTGACACACTAATGGGCCAAAAAGCTTCATTATGATTCAATATGCATTTGGAAGGCTTGTAATTACATTTGCTTAGTTATCAGGCACTAGGTAACTCCATATACATAGCTATTTGATGAAATGTTTCATAATGCAATGAAGAATTCTAATACTGCTGTGACTGTGTTACAAGGGACTAGGCTAGGTAACTCCATATACATAGCTATTTGATGAAATGTTTCATAATGCAATGAAGAATTCTGACACTGCTGTGACTGTGTTACAAGGGACTAGGCTAGGTAACTCCATATACATAGCTATTTGATGAAATGTTTCATAATGCAATGAAGAATTCTGACACTCCTGTGTTACAAGGGACTCTATTTACAATATGATATTCAGAAGCAGTTTGACTTCATTTACTATTCATAATTCCAAAATTATCTGGGAATTGTATCTTTTGAGCTGAGCTGACATGCCTAATGGGTACAAACACTATCCTATCAATGCCAACAACAGAATCGCTCAAATAAACACTTTCAATTACAAAACTGAATGAAACGTTAGTATTCCCTTGTGTCATCTTGTATTGACTGATCTTTCTGCACCCGTTCGAAAATGGTGTCGAGAATTCCAATAGGCCAATCAACTCTGCACTAATTACAAGGGATAATCTTGTTACTATAGCCTGTTAATTATTAATCCTGTTAATGACAAGAATATACTGACAATAACACTACCAGGTAACTACAGTATATTGGTAACTATGCAAATGTGTTATCAATGGTTCAATAAAGCACACATCATAGAAACAGGTCTTTAACCCTTTCATGACGATAATCGCATAAATGCGACAGTAACCATACATGACGATTGGCACATAAATGCGACCATGACACCGACCATATTTGATTTTGTCTAACTATGCCGTTATTCCCCCGGAAATATCGATCTTTTCGCTAGGTGTAATTGAGAAGCCATTTATTGGATGGAACTACGATTTTCAAAAAAAAGTTTTATTTACTGATATTTTCATGATTTTCTGAAGAATTTATCAATCTATTTAAATAAATGCGTCACAAAAAAGAAACTAGGCACGATGCCTTACCATTTCTGGAGCGGAGCAGGGGAACATGAGCCATGTAGACAGTGAAATTGGATTGAATGTGACAATGATAATATTTTGTTGATAAAAATTGGGAATTATTTGGAAACAATCGAATCTGGTGATGAAATGAAGGAGGCAAAAGACAAAGCCCAGGCATACTCATAGTATCTGAACAAGAAATGAAAAATGACATGATATTTTGTCTCTCATTAGCAGCAGGCAACAGGCAATTTTCACCAGTTGTTTTCACAAAATCGCCTGTTGTTTTTAGGGACTTTTCAACTTTTCCATGTTAAATCTATGATTTCCATTAATTTGCTTGTTGTTTTCATTTATTTAGGCTGTTGTGAGAAATTCTAGTGAAATGTTGTGCTTGCATGTATATATGAATGGAAGTTGCATTAAATGCATGTAGTCATTTCCTGTATATGTGCACTAAACTGTACTTAAAAATTGCATGTAGATCATGATCATTAGGTCCAACTTGTTTCTATCACTGTAAAATCCTGTGTTTCCTGGTAACGACATGGCAATTATGTTCCCAAGCAACCATATTGGAATTATGTTTATATTTTGCAACAGAAGACTTGCTCGATCATGAAACAATATTTTGATAAGATTACGAATACCGTAACATTTTGATGAAGTTCTTATTATGCTAAAGACTACCTTATTACCAAAGGCTTATAACTATTTCTGATGGCATAGGATAATCAACGCTCTGAAAATCAATTCACCACGCTTACAAAAATATAATACGTAAAGTAAAATTAGTGTCATAAGGTAGCCCTCGGGAACATCATAAGAGCAAGAAATGACTCGTAAATTGTTGTAATGACGTTATGTTTCTCAGCATTGATTTTTTATTTATAAAATAGCTTTTAAGGTCTTAAGATAGCCTAGCAGGCTTTCAGAAGGATGCTTTATATCTAAATATTATATAGCAATAATAGCCTTTAGCCTTATTGGTATGTATCTCACGCTATGTTCTATGCAAATCTGTGCCAAAGGAAATCAACAAAATTATAAGAGAATGGATGTTTCAGAATTGTCTATTCCATTTAAGGTTTTTAATTAGGCGCTGCAGTGCTATCTGCTATTTTTAAAGGCAAGTCACTAACAATTCAAGCACCCCCACAGGTAAAACTTTTGAGAACTGTAATTTTCAGCCTTTGTGTCAAATTTTCAAAAATTGCCACGGTTTTAAGTAAAATAGCCTCAATGAAAAATGAACCCAAAATGACTCTCTGTGCTAATTCTCAGAAAATACATACATATTTAGATTTGTTACAAGACTTGGACTGTTTCAAATGGGTTATTATTTCAAATCTATTTGTGTATTGGTATTTTTGTTTCACCTCTAATGATCACAAGATATGGCTGCAAGTATACTATTCCAATTATCTACTGTAGAATAGACAAACATATCAGTATATTGTTACAGCCTATTTATCTTAAGACTTGTGAACCAAGACACACAGAGATAAAATAAATTTATCACACTTTTTTATCAAAAAATTCAAAAGTAATCAAATAGCATGCCTAAAATCTGCAGTTGGTCAACTTAAATTGGCGTGTTTTAATTTGGTGAATTGGGCAAAATTGGAAAATTGGCGGAGATTTGGTTTGGCGAATTTAGCAAAAATAAATGTCATGGAATATCACAGGTGAACCAGTATTGAGGGTTGTCATTTGAACCAAAGGAAGCCAATGTTGCGACTAAAATTGAATCAACGTGCACTTTACACTCTATTTCATTCAGAAAATTATAGAAAATTGTTTCATTTAGATGGGCGATAATAGGGTTACCACAATAAAACCAATCACTTAGACCCAAAGTAATGGTTTAATACCTTCAAAATTTATCCAAATGAATAAATAAGCTCTACTTACTAACTGGATGCTATCTTACTGTGACTTTCTAACACCAAATGGTTCGATTTATTGGATAAATCAGATCTTGAACATTTGAGCCATGATAAACCATTTCTCTAAACATAAATTACACTGGACGAAAATTTCCCACAGATTTCTGAAAATTGCCGAAGACTATGGTTCTGATTTAGAATGAATGACAGTCCGGGAATGACAGTGACATAAGTGATCTACAGGACATTGATGAAGATCTTGAAATCTGACAATGCAAAACTTAAGAGTAAAAAGTTCTGTTGTAATATGACAAGTTTAGATTGAGCAATAAAAATCTTTTAGCAATTTTACGGTCTGATTGAAATTGATGCAGACCGTATATATTTCAAATTTACAAGTCTGTATGTCTGGCAAGCATTTATCCATAAGAAATACCATGCCGAAGGCATCGGAATTCTGTGTTCTGAATTCTCTTTACAAACCATTGTTATAAATATTACATCCCTTGGGAATATATTGCTGAGTACATCTTCTCTGATCAATTTTAGAAGAATGATCTTAAGAACTTATCTCAAATATACTCCCATGGCAGTTATAGTATCTTGCATAACAGAGAAGCTGAAAAATGAAAATTTCATATTGAAGGTGCTGACATTTTAGCTCTAAACATTAATAATTTGTCAGTAGCTCAATTTAAATATAAGTTCAGGGATCAAAATAAAAAAGATTCAACACCCGTCAGACAGGTACCCTGGCCAAATTTTTCACTCGTCAAAATAAAATTTCACCCATCCATATTTCGAAGGGGAAGTAATTTTTTCAGCTGTCAAAAAGATCCTGAATCAACTAAGTTTAACTTGTTAAACTAAATTTGGCAAATGTGGCCACCCCATCTGCCAAAAAATACAAAATACAAACAAAACCGGATTGTTTTCTGGAAAGACACACAGTAAAACCAGGCCCATGGCAAAACTAATCCAAGGAAAATATATCCCATGATGTAAAGGTAAGATGTACCTATATCTGGCCCTGGGGTTACCTTCCTTTCCCAAATATTAACAAAAACTTTTGAATTCGTGCCATCTCAAACTTGAACTGAAATGCTGAATAGGGGCAATCTGCAACAGTTCTAGTTTAAAAAAAAGTGTGCATGCGTGTTTGAAATCTGAACCAATTAAATTATTCAATCCAATGTGCATGAGCTAAATTTCATACCCAAAAAGGAACCTGGCACAGATAGCCTGTGTAGCAATAGACTCCCAGAGGTGTCTAACAATCGCTCTTTAAAACAGAGGCCCGAAACAATAACAAGAAATGTAAAAAGCTCGGAGAATTAAGTGAATATGAACTGAAGTTAGAGTAGTTTATTGAGTTCAATTTTGGGATATTTCAAGCAAGTATTAATTTGCCACAATTTCTGTGCTTTGTTCTAGACACGCCTGTCAAGATCAACGACCCACATTGAATACCCATCAGAAAAAAATCTTGAGTCTTTTGATCACTGTACAAGTACCCACTTTTCACTTTTAATGGTCAGGGTGAATAGTTTTAACTATCTATTTATAGTGCAATATATTGCTGGTTGACATAAACAGTGGTAGAGTGTCAACAGAGTCAATGTTCTGAAATTGTTACAGAATTAGCCTTACTGCGTTTCATGCAAACAAAATAATATAGTTCCTTTAATGGACTGCAACTTACCTAGAGCAAGAAACTTCATGAGATAATCATAATCTGTGGGACCGCTCTGGGGACTGCCAGTGGTAGCGCTAGAGTCTCCCATCTCTAGCTCTGCAAGTAAATGTAATATATTAGCAATTAGCCCTTAACCTGTCATTATCATTACTTAACTACTGGGGGGGGGGGATTTTGGCATACTTTTTTTCAATGCATGTACATATATATTACTTTTAACATACACTAGAAAAAGATGCTTTATAAAATAATGATTTGTAAATTAAAGATCATTAATCATTACACATTAAAAGTAGCTCCCATAGACTTATTTTTCTATAATTCATAAAATATATACATAACATCGATTCAGTATACATATGTTGTCACTAGGTTACTATTGTCTTTCATCTAGGAAATGCCAGACATCAAATAGCCTAGAAGAGAATAATGTGAAACCCGAATCAAAAGATAAAACAACTGTTGTCATTTCCCTCCATTACTCTAAGCTTCAATAGAAGAAGACAGCCTGATTTCCTAGCATTTCAAGATTGATGCTTTCTTAATATCAATATTTATCACTGCACTTCCCTCTAAGAAAACATTTTCGATGATCACACATATTCTACAGTTTTACTCAGTCTAAAAAAGGAGTATCCTTCTCTATTAGCTATTCTCTAGAATTCAGAGGGTTAACTACATGTACAGTTACATCTACTTTATTCCACTCTGATTTCACCCTTCCTACGCTGTTTTGCATTTTGCTATAGTGGTGATATTGTTAAGGGAACATCAACTATGAAATAATCTTTAGTCACCTGATTACAGGACAGTTGGATTTAAAAGATTAGTAGCTAATCCCTTTATATCTCTGTGCAATAATATTTGAATAAACAACCTGATTTTCTGGCATTTCCAATACAGTGAAACATGTATAAGTGAAACACTTTTAAACCAATTAATAATATGAGCAACAGGACTTTAAAATGTTGTACTTAAAGGGTTCCGATAAGCTTCCCGTATAAAAACAATATGGCGGCTCCAGGCGAGTCAACTGGATCAGTCCATTTTTAAGAAATAAGGGGAGTTCTGTAAAATCCAGTTTATTGAAATTGTCTTTGAGATAAAGTAATCCGTTTATAATGATTTTGAAAACGTTATCCATAGAGTGATTGCGTTCAAAGAATACATGCACAACAGCCAATATAAATCCTTGTATTAGAACTGCTTTGTTTCATTTGTAGGATATTTCATATGCCAAGCTGTGTGCTATTACGTTATGGGGAAATTTAGATGCCAATTTTTCCTTATTATACACAAATAGAAGATTCTGAAACTTCACCCATAAATGTGGAATTGATTTGTCAAAATAAAAATCACCCTTTTATAAATGTGTGACAATCTATAATATACTTATGCTATATAACAGTTAGAGGTGTTGACACAACGACCTCGAACCTGTGAACCCTTGAGTATTATTCCGGGATCGGGCCTTTTATACTAAACGGTGAGCAACACCAGAAACGAGCGTTCGATTTGCTAAACGATATGCGTCACCCTTTAAGGAGGTGTTCTACTTCACTGATTTGAATGTGGTATAAGAGTACCAAGTCCGTTGACTACATTCTTTCATTACTTGCCAATTTCACCATTTACATCTCAAATCTCAAAATATATAACCCCACTGATGTATTCTTCATTCTTGTTCTGTGCAAGTTCCATATTCTAGTTTTCTGCATGGACAAAATGCAAAAATGTTTTTATGAGAAAATTGAGATCATTTATACAAATATCAAATATTAAAAAGATATGGCATTTACACAATGCACATTTCACACATCTGTTGCAGCAATTCTATTTCTCCAATAGATGAAAATATACATTAGCATCACGCAAAGCAATTGTTACATGCTGTACATGATACAGTTAATATGGCAACTTAATTGCGACTTCACCAAGAACAACAATGACAATTCATGCACAATAATATATTTTAAGACCATAAAAAGGCTGTTAAGGGGTGTAATAATATGTTTGTGTTTCAGCCTGACCTTATTATATGATGTCAAAACTATAAAATGTCGCTCTCTGAGTTTAAAGAGGCAACAACTGAATTTCTAGCTGTTTTAGAGAAAACGTAACATTTTACATCACTTACGTGCTTTTGGGAGTTAACTTAAATACTATGAGGCCAATTTTCCAATGAATAACATTAAGGCTACAATGTGAACATGGTAATAATTAGTGATGCTCGATCAAATGAAACAGACAGTGTTCCTTTAATCAATGCTTTCAGATTTTATTATTGATTCATGTGTAAAACCTTATTTTTATAAGTGTCAGTGTAATAAATATGTCATTTCACAATTATGAGGAATATGCCCTTGTACATTGCTAGATGACTTCTGAGAGTATGTCATCTATTATAATTACACTCAGACAGTCCCTTGATCATGAAATAACTGAAATTACCTGTAAGTAATAACCAGCTGTCTGGAAATTCTTCAAATGTAATGAAAAAATGCTGATCCCTTGTTACTCATTTTACAGTATTTTAACAATCAACAATGTCAAAGTGACCAGAGTATTGGTACGTTCAGTCCTAAAATATTTTAACAGCAAAAAACCAATACAGTATCATTTTGCATTTTAATTCACCCTTTCTATTATATGTGAAGGAAAGCCTTATGGAAGCATTGTCATTAGGAGTCACTAAAAGTCCTACTGACATTGGTCCCACAGACTTTGTTCCCCTTTTCCCCATCAACTTTAGTCCTACTGACATTGGTCCCACTGACTTTGTTCCCCTTTGTTGCCATCAACAATAATCTAACTGACATGGGTTTAACTGACTCCCCCCCTGTTCCCACCAACAATAATTTTACTGACATTGGTCCCACTGACTTTGTTCCCCTCTGTTCCCACCAACAATAATCTTATTGACATTGGTCCCACTGACTTTGTTCCCCTCTGTTCCCACCAACAATAATCTTATTGACATTGGTCCCACTGACTTTGTTCCCCTCTGTTCCCACCAACAATAAATTTACTGACATTGGTCCTTCTAACTTGCATTGCTCCCATTTAATTGACTTTGTTCTAACTAACTTTTGTCCCTATGACTTAAGTCACATTGTCATAAGACTCACTGATATTGGTCCCACTAAATCTAGTCCTAAGAAAATTGTCAAGCAGCCAATATTAACCACAATGCCAGAGAGATTACTGTTACGCTCACATCTGAATTGTCAATTTTCACCTCCTCCCTTTTCTTGCTATTTCAGAATATAGTGAATGAAAACACAATTGTATGATAAACAAATACAATGCAATCTCCCCAGCTGAAAGCTTTATTCATTTCATTTGTGCTTTATGAATAATAGTGTTTCCAATTATGCAGATTACGGCTGGCTGTTTATATCACAATGAGCAAAACATCCATTATTAAAATTAACATAGGAATTGATTTTCTTTTCCATGTAATTAAGAATCAGAGATAGAGTGTACTTTCATAAAAAATACATCAATTTCAGAATTTTTTAAGATTGAATCATTTCTAGGTGTTTTTTCATAAAGATCTTAAAAGCTGATAACAAATTCAGGGAGTACTTAGGAGTTCAACAATACACAATTCTTAATTTTGAAATAATCAACAATTTTTACCTCATGATATGATGCAAGTGGTACAAGCAATTTTACCATGTAAAAAGTAACTATTAAGAAGAATGTATTAACACTTAGTTGGACACTGAAGCAGATCATTCGCCTTATTTTTCTAGTTTTTTCAAAGCAGAAATGATGAAAAGAAGGCATTTTTCAGATCATATATGTGAAAAATGAAAAATAAAAAGCAGAGACATTCTATTAGGGAGCATTTAACTTTATTTTGTTGCTTTATTTTGCAACAAATTTTATTGGTGAGTATCAATACACTTGCGTTGCATCTTGGCCAAATTATTGAGCAATCGCAGGATCCCTATAGGACATATCTATAGATTTCAGAAATTGTTCGTTTTGCTATAAATGTAAATATCAACATTTATCATTTTCAAGAAATTACACTTATCTGCATCATAAATCTTTAGCAAATGGTTTATTTGATAATACAAATGATATTTTGAAAATAAATTATTATCCCAAATGTCATTTATACTTTGTTACTCACAAATTATATTATTTAACATGAAATACACTTACAAAGTCATGACCCAGTGAAAATGGTTATATTATGCTTAGAGGTGTACACTGTATATGACTATAATCATGGTTATAGGAAATAGGTATATTACTATGAGTAACCTAACCTGTTATGTCCTGGTCCTCTTTATGTTAACCTCAAAAGACCTTAATCAACGAGCCAATTCTTTTAAATATAAAGGTTTTTCAGAATAAAAAATAAATCCTTCTTTTCAAATGCAAGCTATTCATTGGCAAATATTCAATGTACATTATTTGTTTTTTTCAATCCATATCATACACCATTGGTATATCAACCATCCACATAGCATGTATCAGAAAATTATTTTCACTTAATACTATGTACTTAACTAATTTTTGTGTTTGACATCTGGCTTCACCAGTGATTACAATCTAAGGTTCAAAATACACTTACCTCAGTTGTATATGCAAGCGTGTTTGATGTGAAATCACCAAATCATCATTTATTGCATTTTACTTAGCAGAATAGATTAACTGTTCCCGATGACATTTTAGCAGACCTTATATTGTGTTTAGTTCTACAGTATGCTGCAGTGCATTAGATCACAGCATAGTGCATCGTGAGTAACAGATAATCTACTATCAACCAGATATGTTCACTGATTAAAGCCAAACCCTTCCAATAACATCAAAGTATGTACCTTTAATATCCTATAGGAGGGTTGGGATATTTGTATTATCCATAGTCAATATAATTATATAGAGAGCATTAAGGTTCAATAATTATCAACCATTAAACAATAGATCTGACATTTAGGGTTGAAAAAACATAACGGTAAACCCTTGCATAGTGACATTAGATACCCAGTTATACGTTTATGGTTGAATAATCACAACCCTTATATAGTGACATAACATACACAGTCCTACATTTAAGGGTGAATAATCAGAACCCTTACAGAGAGACATTACATACAGAGTCATACATTAAGGTAGGATATTCACAACCTTTACATAGTGACATGATATACACAGTCCCATATTTAAGGTTGAATTATCACATCCTTTACATAGTGACATAACATACAGTCTTATATTTAAGGTTGAATAATCACAACCCGAACATAGTGATATAACATACACAGTCATACATTTAAGGCTGAACTAGAAATCGGCAAATCAGCAACATCATGAATCTGTACAGTCACAATGAAATATTTACCATCTACTCTTCCCTGCTCTAGACAGCCATTTTGAACTTTCAGAGGCCAAAATCAGAAAAACAATACCATAACTGTGATCTACTCTAAAATTCCTTCAATTTGAGATTATTGTGAAATCCCACATTAGGCGGCCACTTTGAATTTTACGAGCCCCAAATCAGAAAAACGATACATTATTTACAATCTACTCTAAATCATGTAAATTGCCTCTCATTCAAGTATAATAAAGCTATACTTCAAAACATCTCAAAATTAACACAATTTTTTGTTTTCCCAACGGCCCCTGGGGGTCAGGGTGAAAAACATGGAATATGTGAAATAGATAGATGTAATAAATATACTACCAAAATTTCAAATAATAATATTTAGTACTATGGTCTAAAATGAAAAACATAAGATTTTTGCTCACCAATATTCATCTTTTCATCAAATATGAAGAAAATCCGTCGACCAGTATTCCAGTTATCTTCCGGATGGACAGATGGACAGACGGAGGGCTTCACTATAACCCTACCGAACTTTGTTCGTTGGTATAATAATCACAACCCTTACATAGTGATATTACATACCCAGATTAATGAAATGAGTAATTAATAACACTGCAGAATGACACACAAGACTAATAAACTTACTTAAACCTTTGCTATACTCTTCTTGATTCACAATCTATTAGCAGTTAGATAATATAATATCATAATAACATAGACAGGGTGACGGAAATTCATGTTCCTGTATAACCTCTAGCTCTCAGGGAAGAGCTGCCCTTGGGAAGACCTTTGACTAGCTTTGAGATAATCTAGATTAGAAGTAGAACCTCCTACAGCTTTAATGTAGCTTCGAGGTAGGTCATCCTCGAGATTAGCAGGAGATTTTCCTCTAAATTAGAGATAGACCTTCCTCTAGATTCCAGGTAGTAATTACTCCAGCTTTGTGATAAATATCTTTGTAGTTCTCTAGGTTTGAACCAAACCTTTATTAAAGACAGAATCAGATCTACAGGGGTGGAAAAATTACAAGCAACATGAACAATTGACATATTAATGTATTCTTTATAATCTTAAATACCATATCTCCCAAAGATTCACAATATGTTATAAATTGATGAAGTTATCAAAGATTCAAAGTTCTAAAATAGGTGAAAAATGTGTAAATTCTCCCAAATAATTATATGAATGGTAACCATTCTAATAAAAAATAATCCATTATTGTAAATATCTTTAGTTTTCCTGAAATAAAGTGTGCACTTTAGGAATTTTTAGAAAATAGACATGACAAGGAATTAAATGAGCCAGAAATATTCTAAAATTGAAACAATTTTTTGTTGGACTGCTCGCTAGATCTGATTCTCTCTTTAAGCTTTGAGGTAGATCTCTACATCGTATTGAAATAACAATACATTGATAGATGTCAGGACCAATAATGCCTACTACCACATGTACAACACTAATAACAACATCAACAATAATAGGATGACTAAAAATATGGTGTGCTCAGCTGTACCATTAAGAAAACAGATATCGTGGACAAGCAAATTCATATAAATAAATGTGCATTCATGAAAATTTCACAAATCCTCACAATCATCTCATTTTATAAAAATCAATGTAATTTAAGGTGATATTTAAATAGATTTCTAAATACTAGACTTGAGTGACAAACACATGTAAGGGATATGACCAGCGCTTGCATTAGGTTAGAAAATTTGTGAGTCCCAAGGACGCAATTTTTTGAAAAAAGTGTGTCCTTTGAAAAAAAAGTGTGTCCCCTATTTCTAGCCTGTTTTGAGTAGGGCTGGCACGGAACGGAACGGAATCTGAACGGAACTCGGAACTTGACTTCGGAATTCTGAACTTTCGGACCTTATTTAAAATAGTTCCTACTTCTCCCCTGAAGTTCTCATTTTTGTTACCATAGGAACAGCTGAGTGTACAACTATATATATTTAAGTTTATTAAATACAAACACTAACACTATCTAACTGCCAGAACAGGTGACATAAATGTTCAAAACTAATGGCAAAATGTTAATGTCTTTGCCTTCTTGGCACCTTGGCATACAACTGTTACTGTATATTGTATATTGGCTTTCTTACAATAATTTTCTTTTCTTATAGGTACTGAATATATAAAAAACAATCATACTTTATTTATTTCTATCATTCATTACATATAAAACAACTTTACCAAGTGAAAATGTTTAATGATTATATATATTTATTGATTTCGTTTCATAGTACGAGTTCGCTATAGCGAGTTAGCGTATCGCTATAACGATAAGTGAATGTTCTTTAAGGAAAATAAAAATTCAGAAAATTATCGGAATATGAGAAGGTAGGTCCGAAAGTCCGTTTCCGAAGGCAAAACCGGATGGTTCGGACAATAATTCCGTTCTGTGCCAGCCCTAGTTTTGAGGTATAACTTCTTGCCGCGGAAAACGGAAGTAAACGTTAAGTACGGACTGAATAAATGCATGTTCGTTCATTCGACAATGAATACATTTTATTTCATGAATAACCTAATATTGGTTTCTGAATAGGAAAAACTGTGGCGTGTCATGGTTTCAAATCTAAAAATAAACAAAGTCGAAAAAATTCGAGAGAATCATGATTATTTGTAAATATTCAACATGTTGAGCCTTATTTACGATTCAAATGAAGGTGAGAGATCATAATTATTTGTTTTTGTTAGGTATCGATGTAAACACATTGTAGTATTGACCTAAAAAAAATCTGCGTCCAAAAAACGGAAATATTTTCAATTTTTGCGTCCTCCAAATTATTTTTGAGTCCTTAACATGTACGGGACGCCGTTAATGCAAGCCCTGGATATGACTATAATTATTTATTTATCTTTTATCTCATAAGTCAATATTTCAAAAGAAAATTTTGACCATAATAGAAATAATAATCTCAAATGAAATCCTATTATATATATTTGAAAATGATGATCCTATTTTCTCATTATAATACTTATATTCATAAAACTACATCTTGGTTCATTACAATTGAAACATGGAAAGTTTCATTGTGATTATTTCAATGTTGCTTGTGACACCATTACAAAATCAATCTACTAAACAGAATAAACAAACAAACAGAAGTTACCTTTCTTAACAAAATAGAAATAGGAAAAATAAAAGTCATTTAATTCATAATATGTTTCAAGAGAAGAAAGTATGGGATCATAAAAACCTGGGCCCACATCTATTTTCTGTCTACACATATACATGTACTCTGCAGCATACTCACCACTTTCATCCCCCATATTGGCTGCTGCAGCAGAAATATTGAGAGACGGCAAATTAATATTATATCTGAGACTAACGTAATTTATGATGGTCTCAGGTTATAGGTGTACGATGGAATAAAACATGTAAATAATATTGTGAAACTCACTCGTTCAGTCATAGTTATCTAACAAATCGACAAAGAAAAAATGATTTATGAAAATGCATCCCGAGAAATAAAAGAAAATGAAAAGCAATTAATTTTTCTTTTTATGACCGCCATTTTTCTATCAAACAATCTTTCAAATTTTCAAAGCTCCTATTTTTTGAAAAATTCAAAATAATTTGTTCAGTGACCTTTCTGAAAATATAACTTTTAGCTTTTTCACTGCATATTTTCAGATGGCTGAAAAGCAATTTAATCCATAGGTTCTGGGCTGATATAAAGATGGCAGCACCAACATAATCCAGTATTAACACTCACGACTCTCACGATTTTACAATATTGCTTGATTTTATCCCTTATTTGTTAGGCGGACTGATTTCCCACACTTGTTAGAATAATGTTCCTGGGAATGGAGAGATGTAGAAAGGTACTCACTCACTGGATGAAGTATTCATGGCCACTGATGGCGGAGATTTTAATATTCTGGCCGATTTAAAGATTGAAGTGTAGAATCTGTACCTCTGGAACTTATGTGGAAAATGTTTTTAGCTTTGATAGAATGTTTACGGTTATCCCGTGCCAGGACTAGACTATAGTCCTGTAACCAGAGCATTCTTTTGCCTGTACGATTAGAACTTGGGAGAATTATCTACACCCCTTACACTTAAGATACCTGCGTCAATAGATTCCTGGGTATTTTAACATTCTTTTCGTGTAGTTGAATCCACAATTGTTTGGGTGTATCGGCAGAATGGGAACATTTTTCTTTTTCATCGAGAGATATTCCGTCACTTTCCAAGATGGCGGTTGGATTAAAAAGGGGATTCCCCGTTTGACTGACCCGGAAGTGGCCCGGATAACCAATAAATGCAAGAATTTGATGGTTGAAATAAGTTAAATATTACACGCAAATATTGCGATCAAAAACGAAAATTTCTTTGTTCTGCCGATAAACCCAGACAATCGTGGATTCAACTACACGAAAAGAATGCTAAAATACCAAGGAAACTATTGAAATGGGTATCTTATGTGTAAGAAGCGTAGAAAATTCTCCCATGTTGTAATCGTACAGGCAAAAGAATAAGACGTTCGCAAGACCAGAAATGAGATGGTCTTGGCACTAGATCTAGATAATAGCTCTTCCATACTCACTCACTATTCAGCCACTGAACCTCACCCAAAACTTATGATTTTATTTTGTACAGACTGTAAACAAGTTTTAGAAGTTACAAATTGGGACCCACGCTATGCGTAATTATATACATAGTTATATATTCTATTTGCTTACCTATCAATCTTTGACTCAGTAATTACTTTCGTTTTCTAATAGAATGCTGCCAGGAGTAATCACCAAACAACTTGTTGCTTGATCAAAATCTCACAGAACCGGAAATCTTACCATTTTGATGACCTTGGATTTGATTGGTCTGTTTTATTGGCGCTGTATTCAAAAACATTCCAATATATTGTTGTTTGGTCATGTCACTTGTGCTCAATTTTAGAATATCATTGTTGATATGGATCAGCTCTTCGTAGACACGTGTAATATACTAGAATTATGACCGAATTGCGAATAACAGTTTCGAACGATGCTAAAATAATCTATGTTCGGAATTTTAAAGTAGGATTTTTGGGGTGTGTCATGACCTCGAGAAAAAAATAAAAATATTCTGGAAAAGCTGATCATTTTATGATGTAGGCCTACAAATGACAATATATCATAAGATTTTCAAATGTTTTACAAGTCTTATGAATAGCAGAGTATATATTGGATGAATAACAATATGGCCATGTTTCGAGACAGTTTTTGGGTGAGTATCGTCAGTTGAATTTTGCAATCATTTCATTTTGATTTGATTTTTGAATCAAATCAAATTTTGATCATCATTCAGATTCATCATTGATGTTTCACAGGAACCAGCACCTGACAGTGACATCTATTGGTGACAGGACCCTGGGAATATATCTCTTATTACAAGGAAAGTAACCATCACTTGAACATCACGAACCCTTACAAAATTGTTATTTTTCTTTGCCTGTGAGCCTTCATATTTTGGAATGTATTATCAACCGAATTTCCATGTTTTACCTCGTTTGAACAGTATAATTTGCAATGTTTTTGTATCTGGGGGTAAATATTTTCAAATAAATGAAAACGAGGCTGTCCAAGTTACCCATCAAAAAAATTCAATTTACTACTTTTTTCAAGGCCTGACTGCGTCGCTAACATGCTAAATATAAGAGTTAGCTGACGTTTGGGAGTCTGACTTACCTTCTAAAGGTTAGAACCCGAATCTTAATGAAACCATATCACCTTTGTTCCGTCAACCATGGAGCATTTGCCACAACATCCAAGAGGTAAATCATGGATCGAGAAAATGAATGATTTCCTTGTAAGTTCCGGAAGTTTCAATACGAAAAATTACCGAACATATGTGAAAACCGAATATTTGTTCGTTGTTTTCACGATTTACAGGTTCGTTTGTTCTTCAATGTTTTGGTCTAAATTATAAAGCATCACCAACAGGTCTTACTCTATTAATCGACTAATACAGCAGACGGCTCATATTTCTACGTAGCATTTCATTCAGACTAATAGTGGGAGTGTAGATCACGCAGTTTCGTTCGTTGCGTACTTCACTTGAAATTGGTAATTTTATATTGGCTACTTCACTTAGCTTGGCGGATGTAGAACATTGCTTAATATTCTTTTAATTTTCACACCAGACATGCTTGGTTGACACGTCAACAAAGTAAAGTTCAAGGGTCAATGCGTTATTTCGTGATAACTACAACGCCTTCCCGAAAGTTAACATTGATGAAAAATGAAAAAGTCGGAAAAGCATTTACACTTATTTCTATCAAATGCTATGTTTATGCATCATCATCGACGCAACAAAGGTGATATGGTTTCATTAAGATTCGGGTTCTAACCTTTAGAAGGTAAGTCAGACTCCCAAACGTCAGCTAACTCTTATATTTAGCATGTTAGCGACGCAGTCAGGCCTTGAAAAAAGTAGTAGTGCTCAGTTTTTCGTCTCTATATCACTAGTTTCTATTGGATATTTCACACTCCGGATGTTAAGTTATTTGTTTGAAACACAACTCGACCACAAAGCTCGATCAATTAGAAGTTTAAAATATAAATATATTGAGATCTGAGTACTTTTGTGACTTGACTTTTTCTTTTGAACTAAATAGGTCATCCTCAGGGTCAGCCTCGTTTTCGTTTAATTGAAAATATTTTTTAAATCGTCCAGATACAAAAACATTGCAAATTGCACTGTTCAGATGAAATAAAACATGGAAATTCAGTTGCAAATACATTCCAAAGAAGTGGATGAAGTATCTCTGCAATTGTCAGATTGTTGTTTGTGCCGAAACTAGCGATAAACGAACGAAAGGTGGGTAATGAAATTTTGGAAATTTTGAGCCACAACCGTACTTTTGTTGTACGAAAAGTCAGCCAACTTCAGTCATCAAATTATCATAATCAATTGACGATGAATCGAATTTTATGCTAAATTCTAGTTATTTCCGGGGTTTGGTCACCAATAGATGTCACTGTCAGGTGTTGACACAGGTTCCTGTGTGATGTTTTGCACTTCACTTGTCAGAGACTCAGTTCAAAAAGGTATTCAAATTGATCAACACTGTGGTGTTAAATATGGTTTGGAAATGGAGCTGTTTTGGTAAAAAAATGTCACAGCCTCAATGGTACATGTACGATTTTTCTTTTTCCATGAAATGTCATCCCCCAAGACTATAGAACATCCTATTCTAAGCTTGGAGGAAATGTAGAATGTTACTCGACTTTTTGGTGGTATTGAAGTCATGTCTGCACTTCACAGTTCAAAATCAACTTCTGAAGTAATTTGACACCACCTTCTAATTAGTTCAAGAACATTAAACTCAATAACGGCGTTCTTTACTATTAGAAATTTTCTTGGGCGTTATTGGGTTTAACCTCCTTACTATTCTTTCCTTTATTGCAAGTTCTTGATCCATCAAAACCATTTTTCTGCGATAACATGCAACTGATACTTGACAATAATATAAAAACACATAACAGCAAGCGATTTAACACAATACATTAAAATCTGCGAACAGGGAATGCTCTTGGGACTAGAGTAAAGTTTCCTTGTTCAGAGGTTTTCCCTATAGAGAGGGGCCACACTTTCAGCAAACTCATACTTGCCGAATAAGCATATTTGTATATATATGGGTATTGATTGATTGTACTAATGTCGACTCCATACTTGGTTGCTAGACCTTGTTTTGACATCTCGGAAGATGTATGAAGGTCTCCCGCCTCCCTCCATTGGCTGAGGGTGAGGAGCGTTCTCCCTATGTTGATTTTACCTGCTGCTGCTGGTTTATGATGATGTCTAGTTAATGTAATTATTGATATGATGTGTAGAGATATGTTGCTAAGAACTGAATTTCAAGTTTCATGAATGAACCCCATTTTATATCATTGATAATCTAGAAGTTTGGATCAGTAAAAGATTTAAAGAGATTTGGCTCAACATGACACATGTACTTTTATCTCCATAAAACAATTGTGTCAGTCCTTGATTCCCTAGATTATCACAACTAGCCAAACTGATTTGATGTAATTAGGTTAATATATACAGAATATCGCATCATTTTGAGTGATATCATTTTTATCGCCGAGTTGATATCAAATATCAACACGAGTGAGCGAAGCGAATGAGTGTTGATATTTGATATCTACGAGGTGATAAAATGATATCACGAGAAATAATGTGATATTGGGTTTATCCCATGATTACAATCACCTTGTGATGTTCTGATCCATTTTCCAGGACATTGGCAGACAATATAAACTAGAAATTAGAAATCAATTGAATATTTGAAACACTTTATTTTAATATGCACTACTTTCTGTACATGATATAGCTAGTTTGTCATAAATACCATTTTTAATCGTTATTTAGCAGGCTTCTAATCAAATTATATACACAATCGTAATTCAATACACCAATAAAACTTAAAGAGAATAAATCAACGGACCTATTTTCTCAAAAGAGAATAAATTATCTGACCTAATTTCCAACAATATTGTGACGCGAAATGCAAATGTGATATCACACGGATATGCGTGAGATAAACGATATCACACGCATATGAGTTTGATGAACGATTTTCTGGAAAATATCACACGGATTTCAATTATATCAGAAATATAAATAGCTGTTATTGTACAGATAACACATTAATCATGGGATAAATCAGGGTAATTAACAGTGGGTCGGATGCTACATCCTGTAAACAATTGGCTTATCTTAATCTCAATCATATTAATCCAAGCTTTTTAGAATCAGATATTGGCTTAGGACTTTCACAACTCTGAAAAATAATGGAACATACAGTGTCACCAATATTCCTTGTTCACAGGTGAATTTTCATAATTTGCCCCAAAATAGTGTTCCTTGTTCCCTGTTCACAGGTTTTCCCTACAGAGACATGTAACATGTAAGTAAATTGAAGATTATTTGGTTCTTTTGAAAAGCATTCCTTGTTCATAGGTTTTCCCTACAGAGAGGTATTCCATCAGACAGGTTTTACTGTATTATTGTGGTAAATGTTCATTTATAGGAGTAAAATGAGGCTACACTTACCAATCTCTAAAATGACATTTCCGCATGTCCGTCATTGTGTCTGTTCGTCCCAGGTTTAAATTAAACTATTAGCGAAACAAAATTGTTGTCAGATAGATTGATAATTATTATCGCGATTACTCGGGCTAATTTTGGCTGGAGTTGACTGTGGGGATGGACTACAACCTATTAATCTAGTGAAAAGCCCTGTATTTGGAAAGTTAACCTTGATGAGACTATGAGATGAGATATGTTTCCATCTGGATATTTTCAAATTGATAATCACCCACCTTCATAAACCCAACTTTCTATATGTATGGAAACACTCTTAAAAGGTGTTTACCAAAGTTAAGAGTTTATCCTCTCTTCATATGAAAAATGTCTGTGAGAATTTCTGAAATGATGAATGAGAGAGATAAGGTGAAGAATTGGAAACCTAAGCCAAATTTAGAACACTCTAAGTAAACTTGGCCTGATCTTGATATAGTAAGGCATATATCATGCATAAACAACAACCAAAGACGTAGTTACTCCATGTAAGTAAGCTTCAATGCCAAAGGAATAAGCCTGAATCTGGCTGGAATATATCTGTAAATGATTCAAAAATGGACTGTATCAGAATTCAGCTTTTTAGAGACTTAAGCTTAATAACAGGAGATGTTCATCAGGTAAGATAAATGAATAAATGATGTGAGGTAATCAACAATTGGCAGGCATCCAATGAGATATTCAACATATTATACCAGTCATTTGAGATATTTAGCATCTAAGATCAATCTCATGAGATATTCAACATGTAAGATCAATCACATGAGATATTCATCATGTAAGATCAATCACTAGAGATATTCATCATGTAAGATCAATCACATGAGATATTCATCATGTAAGATCAATCACTAGAGATATTCATCATGTAAGATCAATCACATGAGATATTCATCATGTAAAATCAACCACATGAGATATTCAACATATAAGATCAATCACATGAGGTATTCAACATGTAAGATCAATCACATGAGATATTCATCATGTAAGATCAACCACATGAGATATTCAACATATAAGATCAATCACATGAGGTATTGAACACGTAAAACCAATCTCATGAGATATTCAACATGTAAGATCAATCACATGAGATATTCATCATGTAAGATCAATCACTAGAGATATTCATCATGTAAGATCAATCACATGAGATATTCATCATGTAAGATCAACCACATGAGATATTCAACATATAAGATCAATCACATGAGGTATTCAACATGTAAGATCAATCACATGAGGTATTCAACATGTAAGAACAACAGCATTCGATATTCAACATGTAAAATCAATCACATGAGATATTGAACACGTAAAACCAATCTCATGAGATATTCAACATGTATGATCAATCACATGAGATATTCAACATGTAAGATACCCTGCGTGCAGAGTCTAGTTAAACTACACTCTGCCTGGTAGAGACCAGATTACAGTTTAAAAGCCCCGCCCCCACGATAGGTACCGGTGACAGTTTGGGTGATAAATCACTTTTGACCTACGCGCTGACCTTTCTTCCACCAATCAGCGAGCTTGAAGAAAGATTCACCAAATGCGTTCTAATTAAATATGCGCATGTCATTGGTCAATTCCGGGCTCAACGATGACGTCAGAAGGAATGACCATATATCAAAACGTCGGTCAAATTTGGCCGACGAACACTGACGAACACTGGCGCGGTGAGTTCACAGGTTTATTTTAGTTTTGAAATAGTGAAGACGAAGCTCTCTTTTAAGAGGTGAAGTCAAACGAATGCAAAGGGTACATGTAAGACCAACATCATGAGAGATTCAACATGCAAAATCAAACCTAATCAACTTGTACTTGTATTAAGTCATTCATGTGAGCTTTTTAATGTTTTAAATATTTGATATCCTAGACATTGATGAATTCAACATTACCAAATTAGCCCAAGGTTTAATTGTCAGTAGCAACTGTTCCCATTTGCTCATGATAAATCATCAGTCCTTATTTAACTCAATACATAATATAATCTTGGTATTGAAAGTTGCACTGAGGTCAAGTTTTCAAAATATTTTTATGGAAGATTTTTTCACATCTTATCTTTAATGATCCGGGATTTTCAGGTTTACATAGTCATTCTCCAAATCTATGAGTTCTGGTATATCAGTTGAATTTATAACAAGATAACAAATTATTTCTATTTTGTAAGGGTTGCGATGTAATTAAAATAATATAATAAAAGACATCATCTTTGTCTCAATTAAAAAGATCATAACTGTGCTGAGTTTGTGAAGTGAAGATGAGTGCTCTTGTACTACTAAGATTAAGTTTGAAGACATTACAAGTACTGAACCAGGATATGGATAATTATAAGATTTCCTCATAACATTTAGATTATACAAATACAGGACTTAATAATTTCTGGGATTAACTTACCTAACTTTGTAAATTATCATAGAAAATTTTAGATAATATTTTACATTATTTGAGTTAAATGTTTTAGCGAATTCTTTCTAAGTCGTTACATAGGACTGATTGTTTTTGCATCCCCCTTGAACAGTGGGCTTCGGTATAGCCAGGAATAGCAGTGCTATGAAGGAATCCTCTGTAAGGGCAATATAATCAAAGGAACCCATTATAAGTATAAGACAATTTCTCATTATAGAAAGTATGGAGGAGGAGCAGCTTCGGTTGTTATCAACATGTAAGACTCCATTATTCATGGAGTATTTCAAAGAGATTTTCTGCTTTAATCCCCAAAGGAGCTTTGTCCATTCTCAGGTAATAAGAGAATAAAATCATTTGTTATGTTTGGTCTGAAACTAGTTTCAAAACACATTTTAAGTGTCCAGGAGGATCTAAAAAGGAGGATAGCGATATTCAATATTCGAAAGTGCTTTAAGGTGCCTCAGCCCATAGGAGATATCTCTCTAATAATATTGGAAGAATTGATAAGAGGAGCCTTGTAAATCAGAATAGGATGTTCTCCACTCATAGATTTTCCTAAATGAGTGGGTTGTGATAAGTCAAGATGTGAAAAAACATACTTGATAACATAAAGGGGAGGAATGTTTTTCTTTTATCAAATCTTGATTTGAAGACCTAGAACATTTTCTGTTTGAAATATTTCCTCATCATTTTCTTAATGAAAATTTAAATGATATATTAGCTTTCTAGAAAAAAGTGATTTCAGTATTTTGAAAATAAATAGCAATTATAGCATTCCTGGGTACAAAAAATGAATAAACAAGACTCTTTTATTAGGAATATACCAGAATTTCACATCACAAAAACTTCAAGAAAAGAAACTAAAACTGAACAATGTTATTTTAAATCTGTAATATTTGGCCAATGTAAATATTTCAAAACTCATTTTCAATTTGATTCTGACATCATATTTTTTATAAGTGTTTATTGAACGAGCATGTGTTACTGTTATCTGGTATCTGATAATATTTATATACATCCTTGAACTTTTATATTAAAACACATTAAAGTTGAGTTAATGAAACAAATATGTCCATGTATTTATACTTTCTACCTGAACACTCATGTAAATCATGAAAGGTACACGTTTGTTTCAAATACAGGTACCTGTTTTTAATGCCAAAGTTTACAATGTAAAATGTTTGTATATTATATCCCCAATGTTTAAGATTACCATACACTTGCAATATGAACAATTATCGTATGATCTGTAAAATGAAGCCTTCTGATTGGTCAGTTCTTGTGCTGTACCAATCTGTATTGCTACTGAGATTGTCCTCATTGATCATCTCCGTCGCAATACAGAAAATATTGGTACGGAGGGGACATTCTCAGTAGCAATACAGAGGATCACATGATAAAAACATTATAGAATGATTTGAAGTGCAATACAGGATATATTCTGCAGCTAGATATTCTCTATTGGCACTCGACTTCGTCTCGTTCCAATATGGAATTTCTCGAGCATAATATATCCTGTATTGCACTTCAAATCATTCAATAACTTATATTATCCTACACTTCAAGTGTAGTGTACTAAATGTATAATAACATTAAAAAATAAATTTGATATTTATTGGCAAAATGAATATCCGGAGGATATCGTAACGATATACTCTGGGCGGAGGATATCGTGACGATATACTCCGGAAACCCCAATATGTGGAGGATATTGTGACATTGCTCTCTCGTGCAGATATCAATATCACCTCGTAGATAAAAATGATATTCCTCAAAATCATAGGATATCCTATAAATGTTTGTCACCAGGAAGAAAATGCACTTAACTCCTTATGTCAAGATATCTGAAATATTTAATGTGACCTCAAGTATCAGTTGATGTTGCTTGAAATACCACTTAGAAGTTAGCAGTAATTTGGCCTCAAGGTGAACAAAATATATTCTCATTGCTGTATATACCCCCCACACCTCTAGAGAAAAATTTGGGGTCAAAAAAGGCCTGTAGGCCCCAAAAAGTGGGCCTTTTTTGGTCATTACTGGGCCTTTTAAGGCCTTATTTTTTAATTTCAGGCCAAATTTTGAAGAAAATAGGCCTCAAAAGAGCCCACTTTTGTTTTTTTCTCTGACTTGAAATTCGGGCCCCCCCCTTGTTGGTTCCCAGATCCGCCCCTGTTACAATTACAATTTACAAAGTCTGTTAAGTATAAAGAGACTTAATGGACACCCTTATATATTTATGCCAACCCTGTTAATTATTTGAATTTCTTATTTTTGTGCCTGTTATTACTAATTTTCATTTATTTTTGTCATGCATTTGCAGGGCCTGAATGGCTTTGAAGAGCTGAGGAAGTACATTAAGCAGGGTAATGAGTTCTGCAAGGAAGTCTCCACTCTCATGTTAGAGAGGTTTGTTGAATCCATATGTAAATTATCATAGTACTTGAATCAAGGAAAACATGTGATTCAAATGATTTTACACTATGAGTGACACTGACAGTACTACTACATGTAAATGACAGTATTCTGATTTTTGATTGAGTGCAGCCATTATGGGAACTTTCCTCAAGCTATCTCAAATAGAAAATCTACTCCCTCCCCTTTTATGTGACATGATAATTAAGATACTTTCATACTTAAGACAGCCTATGCTTGTGTAAATGTAGTTGACTTTCATCGTTATCGCACATTCTTTAAATTGGCCATACCAGTGTTCTCCCTAGTTTATTATGTCATCAACAGAAGTGGTGAGATTTTGTTATGGTCTCTAACTATTTGTGGATGGTGTTCGGCATTTGAAATTTGGTGGTTGGCTTTTGGTAATTTGGCATTTGGAGGTCAGCTGTTGGCATCTGTAACAAATGGCAGGTGGTGACATTTTACATGTTAATGCCTTGTTTCTCAAGCACTGTAGGTGTTAAATTAAGAACATACATCAGAATATAATGCCTATTGCCTATTTTCCATGATTTTTTCATTTTGAAGTGGGTCAAATTTGTTATTAATTGAGTGCAAACCAGTTTTCGAAATCCAAAGTGGCATAGCACATACTTGATTTAATGCTGCATTCAATATATATTCAATGAATTGCTTATAATAATGAATTAAATGCATTTTAGATCAGAGCTAGAAATGCACTATGGAAAAGTGCTCAATAAGCTTGCAGGGAAGCTGTCTAAATCTGCTACAAACTGTATAGGGTAAGCCCTTTATCTATCTTCATCTATAATCTTATTTAGTTTCACAGTAGGGACATAGCCAGTGTCTGAAAATAGGTGAGGAAAATTTAGATAGGCAAGGCTACTTTAATTTTCAGTTTCAGTGAAAGCTATTCTAAATATTGTTTTTTTCAGGGAAATTTTGGTTAAGCACTTGTCTCGCCTGCTTCATGACTGGTTATGCCTTTTTTAGTCAGAGATTCACAATTCGCAAAAATCTTAACGCTTATATCTTTCTATCGACTGCCAGATTGAACAATCATTGATTTTTCTCCAGTTAAAAGTAACTTTCTTTTAGAAATTGATAGTGTTCATATCAATTACATGAAGAGGAGGGAAAATTCCAAAGTTCATAGATGACCTCAACTCGTCTTCAGTAGAAATTTATAGAGAGACGACCCTCATCACTGATTGGTCAAATGACATAGGAGCTTACGAAAACAAAATGACGAATTCAAAATTTTGTAAAACCTTTTACAATAATATGATTTCTGGTGTGTTTACCCATGGGCGTAGCGCCCGGTACGCTGGGTACGCACAGGCGTACCAGATGGTTGCAAATTCGCTCCAAATACAACCAAATTTTAAAATTTTCCTGGGGGAAACCCCCAAACCCACTGAATGCTCGTTTTTTGATTCACTCAACTGTTGTTCCTGTGGTGGTGGCGTACTACTTAGAAAAATAGCGCTACGCCCATGTTTACCAATGGTTTACCAATTCATGTCTTGATAAAGAAAGGTGTAATAAATATGTTTACATCGATTAAAACATAATATCGACGTGTGGTATTCATGCAGAAACGTAGATGTTGGACATTCAGACAAACGAAAGTGGTAAGCAAGAGAGGTAATTATGAGGTCAGCTCTGAGCTCTGAGGTTTTCCTTCCTCTTAATTATTACATGGACTTACATCACTATGTTTACCTTGTTCCCTATGGTTGTTGAATAGGAGTATAATATGCAATTTCAACTTTTAGTACCTTGTGGTTGTTCAGTATGAGAATAATATGCAATTTCAACTTATAATTTGTAATCTGTACTCTTTGAGATGTAAGCAAATATTTACCATATAACAGAAATTGCTTCAATTGATTAGAAATATTGAACATTTAGTTTTTCTTTCATATCTCTACCAGCACAAGTATGTTATTGCTTCTCTGGAATGCCTAATCTCGACTAGTAGAGATACTAGATCATAAAAACAGTTTTGTATGGTATGCATGGAGCAAACCCCAAAACTGGTAATAACTAGAGATTTAAGATTGCAAGCAATCTTACGGAGGCCCTGTAGGCGTTTTTGGCAATTTGAAGGTCAGCCAAAGGTCAAATCTCAAATCTAGGGTCATATACTAACACCAGGCAACTTGTAGATGATTTTTAAAAAAAAGTTTGGTCAATTTGAAGCAAGTTGAAATTTAGTCTTGAAAAGTTTGGAAATTTGACCTTTTTTCAGTTTTTGAGTCCTAATATCTCAAAACTGGTACACAATTTTAATAAATAGTCAATTGCTAATATGTGTAGAAACTATAGAGGAATATATATCCTGACTTTCATGAAAAAATATTGATTTGAAGTCACCAAAACTTAGAAACTTCGAAAACACAGTTGGTGATTTAATTTGATGACCTTGACCTTTGATCTTGCAAATTTTACTTTAATTCACCTCAGTAGCTCTTTTGTGATCAAATATACCTAAATTTGAATCCAGAAAATCGATTTAAAAAATCAACTTTTTTTCCCCTTCCGAAGGTCACTGAAGGTCAACCAAAGGTCAAGGGTCAAAAGTAAGGTCAGATTTGGATTCCTGAGATCCTGTAGATGCTTTTTAAAAAAAAGTTTGGTCAATTTAGAGCAAGTTGAAATTTAGTCTTGCAAAGTTTCGAAATTTGACCTTTTTTCAGTTTTTGAGTTCTAATATCTCAAAACTGGTACACAATTTTAATAAGTAGTCAATTGCTAATATGTGTAGAACCTATAGAGGAATATATATTCTGACTTTCATTTAAAAATATTTATTTGTAGTCTCCAATTTTGAGAAACTTAGAAAACACAGTTTGTGATTTCGTTTGATGACCTTGACCTTTGACCTTGCAAATTTTACTTTTTTAGACCTCAGAAGGTCTTTTGTGAATAAATATACCTAAATTTGAATCCAGAAAATCGAGTTGAAAAATCAACTTTTTTGACCTTTCGGAGGTCACTGAAGGTCAACCAAAGGTCAAAGGTCAAAAGTAAGGTTAAATTTGGAATCCTGAGAACTTGTAGATGAGTTTTAAAAAAAAAATTGGTCAATTTGAAGCAAGTTGAAATTTAGTCTTGAAAAGTTTCGAAATTTGACCTTCTTTCAGTTTTTGAGTTCCAATATCTCAAAACTGGTACACAATTTTAATAAATAGCCAATTGCTAATATGTGTAGAACCTATAGAGGAATATATATCCTGACTTTCATGAAAAAATATTGATTTGTAGTCTCCAATTTTGAGAAACTTAGAAAACACAGTTTGTGATTTAGTTTGATGACCTTGACCTTTGACCTTGCAAATTTTACTTTTTTAGACCTCAGTATATATTTTCTGATTAAATAAACCTAAATTTGAATCCAGAAAATCAATTTGAAAAATAAATTTTTTTGACCTTTAGAAGGTCACTGAATGTCAAATAAAGGTCATAGGTCAAAATTAAGGTCAGATTTGAGTTCCTGAGATCTTGTAGATGCTTTTTAAAAAAAAGTTTGGTCAATTTAGAGCAAGTTGAAATTTGACCTTGAAAAATTTCGAAATTTGACCTTTTTACTGTTTTTGAGTTCTAATATCTCAAAACTGAAGCAAAAATTTAATAAATAGTCAATTGCTTATATGTGTAGAACCTTTAGAGGAATATATATTCTGACTTTCAGTAAAAAAAATTGATTTGTAGTCTCCAATTTTGAGAAACTTAGAAAACATAGTTTGTGATTTCGTTTGATGACCTTGACCTTTGACCTTGCAAATCTTACTTTTTTAGACCTCAGAAGGTCTTTTGTGAATAAATATACCTAAATTTGAATCCAGAAAATCAATTTGAAAAATCAACTTTTTTGACCTTTCGGAGGTCACTGAAGGTCAACCAAAGGTCACAGGTCAAAAGTAAGGTCAGATTTGGAATCCTGAGAACTTGTAGATGAGTTTTAAAAAAAAATTTGGTCAATTTGAAGCAAGTTGAAAAAAGACCTTTTTGACCTTTTTTTGACCTTCAATATCTCAAAATCTAGGCAAAATTTCTCCAGACGGCAAAAGGCTAAGACTAATAGAATACTAATAATAGTGTCAGGATTTGAGAAACTTGAAAAAAACTTAGATTTGACCTAGATTTTGACCTTTGACCTTGACCTAGATAAAAATTCCTTTCCCCCCAAGTTCAGCCAAGGTCCCTAGTAGGTGCATATAGTAGATAGTTGAAAGGTAGTTGGAAGTAGGAGAAAAAGGTTTAGGAAGAATAAATAAATAAAGAATAATAACTAGACTTTGGAAGATTGCAAGCAATCTCACGGAGGCCCTCTTAGGCATTTTTGACAATTTGAAGGTGAACTAAAGGACTAATATCAAATCTGAGGTCAGATGAGAACTCCTGAGAACTTGTAGATGATTTTCAAAAAAAGATTTTGTCAATTTGAAGCAAGTTTAAATTTGACCTTGAAAAATTTCGAAATTGACCTTTTTTCAACTTTTGAACATTTATATCTCTAACTGGGACAAAATTCTATTAGATAGTCAATTGCTAATATGTGTAGAACCCTTAGAGGAATATATATATTTCGACTTCGGATTAAAAATACTGGTTTGTAGTCTCGTACTTTGCGAAACTTAGATAGCACAGTTTGTGACCTAATTTCATGATCTTGACCTTTGACCCTGAAAAGTTTTACTTTTTTAGACCTCAGTAGGTCTTTTGTAATTAGGCTGACCTAAATTTGAATCCAAAGACTCAATTTGAAAAATCAACTTTTTTTACCTTTCGAAGGTCATTGAAGGTCAACTAAAGGTCAAAGGTTAAATCTGAGGTCAGATTTGGACTCCTAGGAACTTGTAGATAATTTTTAAAAAAAATTTGGTCAGATTGAAGCAAGTTGAAAAATGACCTTTTTTACCGTTTTTGACGTCAAATATCTCAAAAATGGTAAACATTTATGCTGACATATTGTGAACAATTTGTAGAGAATACTAAAATGTAGTTTCAGTTTAATTCATCGCAAGAAATAATGAAGTATAAGGACAAACTTGAGAAACTTGAAAAAAATTTAGATTTGACCTAGATTTTGACCTTTGACCTAATTTGATAACCGTGACCCTTGACCTTGAAAATTTTACTGCTTTAGAGCTCAGTAGGTCTTTTATGATTAGGCTAACCCTAAATTTGAATCCAAAAACTCAATTTGAAAAATCAACTTTTCTGACCTTTCAAAGGTCACTGAAGGTGAACAAAAGGTCAAATGTCAAATTTGAGGTTAAATATGAACTCCTGAGAAGTTGTAGATGATTTTTAAAAAAAAGTTGGGTGAATTTGAAGCAAGTTAAAATTTGACCTTATAAACTTTGAAAAATTGACCTTTTTCAGTTTTTGAGCTCTTATATCTCAAAACTGGGACAAAATTTTAATAAATAGTCAATGGCTAATATGTGTAGAACCCTTAGAGGAATGTATATCTTTACTTTCAATTAAAAATATTGATTTGTAGTCTTGAACTATGAGAAACTTAGATAGCACAGTTTGTGACCTCATTTGATGACCTTGACCTTTGACCTTAAAATTTTTACTTTTTTAGACTTCAGTAGGCTTTTTGTAATTAGACTGACCTAAATTTGAATCCAAAGACTCAATTTGAAAAATCAACTTTTCTGACCTTTCGAAGGTCACTGAAGGTCAAGCAAAGGTCAAAGGTCAAATTTGAAGTCAGATTTGGACTCCTGGGAACTTGTTGATGATTTTTAAAAAAAAATTGGTC